CTTGTTTATATAAACCATGAAATGAAATGATGTTTCTAGCCATATCTGGCGAATAGCAACAATTATTCAAATTTAAATCTAAACCATTACTAAGCACTAAGGAATAAACTCCAATCTTGGTCACAGGCAACGATCTTGTGTTTCCCATGATCAGATTCGTCCTTCCACGCTCCACATCCCTATTTCCTTTTAGTCCCTGCAAATCAGAACATATGTGAAAACCACATCCTGTATCAAGAACCCAAGAAGTAGCATGTGATAAACTATTAGATTTAATTGTGTAAATACCTGCGAAAGATGGCTTGATCTTTCCATCCTTGATGGCTTGCAGATATTTTTGGCAGCTTCTCTTCCAATGCCTTATTTTGTGGCAGTGGTGGCACTCTGCCTCCTTAGGGTTAGAGTTGGGTTTAGCAGATCCAACTTTGGTTCCACTAGAAGAGGTGCCATCTTGGGACTTTCCCTTGTGGTGGCCCCTTGAAGAGGCCTTCCTCTTCTTACCCTTCCCTTGCCCTATTGCCAAGACAGGGGCAACAGCTGGAGTAGGAGGTGATGCAACAGATTTATCCTTGAGGTTGCTCTCAGCAGTCCTCAACAAGCCCTGAAGCTTGCTCAAGGAGACCTCTTCCTTATTCATGTGGTAGGTCATGCGGAACTGGCTATAGCAGGAAGGCAATGAGTGAAGGATAATGTCAATTGCAAGCTCTTCATCGAAGTTCACATTCAACTTCAGCAGGCGATCAACATATCTCTGCAGCTTTTGAAGATGGGCAGTAAGGGACTCTCCATTGCCCATTTTGGTAGTGATCATCGAAGTTATGATCTCATACCTCTCTTGCCTAGCGCTCTGGTGGTAGCGTTCCAGCAGATCCTGATGCATCTCAGAGGGGTACTTGTCCTCATAGGACTTTTGAAGTTCAGCAGTCACAGTCGCGATCATGATGTAATGGACTTTCGTGGCATCATGCTCGTGGGCCTCGTAGGCCGCGATCTCATCGGCAGTAGCAGTTTCGATATCAATCTCCTTTAGCTTCTCGTCGAGGACATATTCTTTGTCCTCGTAGCGAGTGACCATGCGAATGTTGCGGATCCAATTACTGAAATTGGTCCCATCGAATGTCACTTTCCCACACAAGTTCATGAGTGAGAATGAACCAGAGGAGTTTGATCCAGAAGCGTTGTTGTTTGCATTCGACATCTGAAAAGGAAAAAGAACAAAGTTGATTAGAAATGAATTTCCCCAATTAATCACCTAAATGAGAAATTAGGGCTAGGAACCAACAACATTATTTACAAATTAGAAAAGGGATGCCGTAATCTAACAAGTAAATAATTTGAAGGCAAGTGAATGTCGATTCACTAATTCTCCACCATGAAAAACAAAAAAGAAATTAGGTTTTAAATGTATTGAAAACTCCTAGATCTTTTGAGATACATTGAACCTTTCAATGGCATGTTTAAATCTCGATATGCCCCTCTCGTTTGTGAATGGGATGCCGAGGATCACAAAGTGGGTGTGAATAACCATGCAAATGTACATGGTGCCCTTATTGTTACAGTCACCTATTCGATGTGTTGGTTAACCACACACGCTCCATCGAGCTATGACAAACAATGAGTCACCCTTTGCTACCATTTCTTAGAACCCAATTAATGTGCCGGTTAACCACACGCGCTCCATTAACGTCTTAGCAAGGGCACAAAGTGTAATTTCATGGAATTGCATCAATTCACTTTTGCCTAAAGTAACTAAGATTGGGAATTTTATGAAAACGTTCTAGTTACTTTATATAGATTCATTATACTTTTAATGAGGAAAGGTTTGCCCGATCCTACCCGTTCGGCTAACGACCCCCCACCAATCAAGGAAGTGGTGGGTGAGAATGAACACCCATTAAACGGCCATTTTATAGGCCATAACCTTATACCCCCCTTATAGATCGGCTTCGTGAATGAGGCCTACTAAAGGTAAGACTAGCATTTAAGTTATACGTATATATATTAATCTTATAATACTATAAGTATAAGGTTGAATTTTAAAACTTGTAAAATTCTAAGGTTTGAAATTTAAATGGTTCAAATTAAAACTTTTAATCACAAAACTTAAATTTCAAACTTGAGGACAAGTTTTGAACTTTTCAAAACATAAAGGATCAAATAGCAAATAATATAAATTAACTAATTAATTTAGTGGTAATCTAAATTTGACCTAGTCAATATTACTTGCAAGACAATCTACCAATTAATTCAAATAATCAATTATTATCACATAAGGAAATTATTATTTAACTAAATGGTAATTATCTTTTGTTTTGTCAAGGATATAGTCAAATATATGATAAAATTCGGATTTTATTGACCCAAAACGATTAAGGCAAGTATCCTCAAGCAAAACAGCAAGAAATCCCGAAAATCACTCTGACAGACGCTTGGACTCGCCGAGTACCATCATGGACTCGCCGAGTAGCATGAACTCGCCGAGTCCACAATGGGACTCGCCGAGTCTGTCAGTCAGGGGCACAAAAAACGATTTTTCATGGCAAGAACAATCAAACAATGCATCAATTCAATAGAAATCAATCTAAGCTCTGATACCACTGATGGGTTTGAGCCATAAGAACTTTCCTATGTGCACATGCAAACCCTAATGCTTGGATCTAGGTTTCTCTAATTGAACATGCAATGTTTCCAAGACTTACAATCCTAGATCTAGAGAATACAATTGAAACATAACACATGAAATCAGATCTAGATGAATACCTTAAGTTGCTTGCTTGAATCTTCTTGTTCTTGGAGCTTAGAGTCACAATTGTCACTCCTCTAATGGCTTACAAACACCAACTAGCAAGAGGATGATTTGGAGAGAGCGGAGGGATGAGAAAATCGGCTCTAGGGTTTCCAATGCAACAAGGTGGCCGATTTCCCTCACCTATGGGGTCTATTTATACTATGAGCTACTAGGGTTACATCCTTAACCCTAATTGAATAACTTAGGCCCTAAGCAATCCAAGGATCCTTCTAGATTAAGGCTTGGACGAATTCAAGGAGCCCATACTCCTTAATTTCGGCCACCCTAGATCTATAAGGATTCATAGCCCAAAACTCAACTATCACACATTTAACAGTTTAAGCCCCTTTATTCAATTAACCTCTTTTAGTCACCAAATTAATTCCTAATTAATTTATGACTAATATTAATTAAATAATATTATTATTCCTTTAATATATTATTCCCATAATATATTAATATAATAATATCTCTTCTCTCTTCATAAATCACCCTGTCAAGTTGTTATGGTGAAGGCAACCCAAAAGGACCATGCACAACCGGGTCAAGTACTTACCAAATATAGTTACGGGCTTAGACACTAGTCCAACAGCTGGTATGGAAGATATTGATGTAGATGATGTCGTTGATGTGGAGCAAAATGGAGGTGCTCCTGATCATAACCAAAGAAAGGGACGAAAGCAGTCTATTGTTTGGCAACATTTCAACAAACCGGATACAATTCCACCTGAAGGAGCACGCACCGCATGTATTCACTGTAAGAAAAGCTATGTGTATGAACCAAGTCAGAATGGTACTAGTGTTATGTTAAATCATTTGAGAAAGTTATGCAAGTTTGATCCACTTAAATGTCAAGTAGAAAAAAAACAAACAACTATAAATTTTTTTTGGAAAGGGTAAGGATGGAAACTTACAATGTGGTCGTTTTACAAAGGAATTGGGTAAACAAGCTCTTGCTAAAATGATTATTATTGATGAACTACCATTTAGATTTGTTGAAAAAGAAGGTTTTCGTTATTTTTGTAGTGTAGTTCGACCCGAGCTAGAGTTACCGAGTCGGATTACAATTGCTAGAGATATCTTATCTTTGTATGTGGAAGAAAAGAATAATTTGAAAGAGCTTTTACGAAAATCTTCACAATCTGTTTGTCTTACAACTGATGCATGGACTTCATGTCAAAACATCAATTATATGGTTTTAACAGTCCATTACATTGATGTAGATTGGAAATTGCAAAAAAGGATTTTGAATTTTGAAGTTATTTCTAATCATAAGGGTGACACAATTGGTAAAATGGTTGAGAGTTGTCTAATTACATGGGGTATTGAGAAGGTTTTTACAATCACTGTGGATAATACAAGCTCTAATGATACATCTATTTCTTTTCTGAAGAAGAAAATACAAAATTGGGGACATGCGGTTTTAGATGCTCAATACTTGCATATGCGTTGTTGTGCTCATGTGTTAAACTTGATTGTGTGTGATGGTTTAAAAGATTATGATCCTGCAATTCAAGTTATTAGAAATGTTGTGAGGTATGTTAGATCCTCGCCTTCAAGGATGGCTAAGTTCAAGGAATGTGTGAAGATAGAAAAGTTAAATGTTACTGGAACTGTTTGCTTAGATGTTTCCACTAGGTGGAATTCGACTTACTTGATGTTGGAGTCGGCTTTGAAGTATAGAAAATCATTTAATCGGTTGGAAGGAGATGGACATTATGCAAGGTTTTTTAATGTGGGTCCTAGTAGCTTGTTGAATGAAGTAGATGCAAAGAAAATGTATGATGTCACTAAAGTCGGGCCACCCAATGATATTGATTGGGATGTTGCACAAGCATTTATGGTTTTTCTTAAATTATTTTATGAAGTGACAAATTGGTTTTCAAGGTCTTTGTATGTAACTTCTAGTGCTTACTTTCATGATATGTTTTCATTGCATAGCCATATTGATGAATGCATTGAAAGTGATGATTGGCGGGTGAGTTCGATGGCTATGAATATGAAAGAAAAGTATGATAAATATTGGGGAAATGCAGAAAAGATGAATCCTTTATTGTATGTAGCCGTTGTTCTTGATCCTCGATACAAGTTAAAATATGTCAATTGGAGTTTGGAAGAAATGTACCCTATTGGTGATATTGCATGTGACTTGAAAAAGAAGTTAAAAGCCACTTTGACTCGACTTTATGACTTTTAATTGGAAAAAGATCCTATGCATGCCAAAAATTCTTCTTCAAACAAGAATCATAACAAAAGGAAAGTTAATGAGAATCTTAGCATACAAGAGAAGCGTATGTTAAAATATAAGGCACATTTGGAAGACGAAAAAATAGGAGAATTGAGTGAGCTTGAAAGATATTTGTCAGACAATCAAGAGCCAAGCTATGAGTATTTTGACTTGTTGGATTGGTGGAAGACAAATAAAGCAAAATATAAGATTTTGGGAAAAATTGCAAGGGATGTGTTGGCTGTTCCAGTTTCTACAGTTGCTTCAGAATCTGCATTTAGCACGAGGGGTAGACTTCTTGATTCATTTAGGAGTAGTCTTTCTCCTAAAACAGTGCAAGCGCTTGTATGCACACAAAATTGGATTCGGGGTGTGTTTAACAAAACTGCAAAAGTTTGTTATGAAGATGTGTTGAAAGAAATTGAAGACCTTGAAGAAATTGAAAGTGGTAATTTTTCAAATTCTAAAACATTTTATATTTTCTCTTTGTTATTATTTTTAACAAAATATAACTTGTATTTCAGATTTTGCAAACAAACTTAATATTTGTACCGACAACATCGATTGAAAGGTATTTTTCTTCTCATGGTTTTATATTGAATTTTTGGTGTGATCTTTTAATATTAACTTTTTGGACAACAAAAGCTTATGGATTGGATGGAATTTTGGAAGTGGATAGCATTTTCGAAGTGAGCTTGCGGATAATGGAAAAAATTGTTGTTTTGTGTGTATTAGTTTAATGTTTGATGTAATGGAATGATATTTGCTGTTTTTATTTGCTGTTTTGGATGGTTTTTAAGTTGCATGAATCGATAGAAATGTTTGATGTAATAGAACAATGTTTATTGTTTTCATTTACTGCTTTTTATTTACTGTTTTGGCAGTTTTGACAACTTTAATATTGTAGTTTTTTTTAACAATATTGCAGTTTTTTAAACAATATTTGGCAGATTTTTTGTTGACAGTTTTTTTTAAACTATTTTGACAGCTTCAACATTGCAGTTTTTTAACAATATTTGGCAGATTTTTTTGTTGTTGTAACAATATTGAATTTTTTTTAACAATCTAATGGACTCGATTAAAATGGGCCTAACAAGCCCAAGCCGTGAAACCAAACCGGAACCAAACCGTTAGTAACGGTTTGGTTTTGTTCGGTTTTAATTTTTAAACGGTTCGGCTTCGGTTTTCGCTTGAAAAAACCGTAACTAACAGTTTGGCTTCGGTTTGAGCTAAAAACCGAAAAAACCGGACCGTGAACACCCCTAGATGACATATGGGTCATGGGTCGACATGTGGTAGTTGGTTATAGTGTCAAGGTAACACACGTGGATGACATATGGGTCATGGGTCGACATGTGGTAGTTGGTTATAGTGTCATGGAAATACCCATGGATGACATATATATGGGTCATTTATCAATGTGGTAGTTTCTTATAGTGTCATGGTAACACCCATGGATGACATATGGGTCATGTTCGAGATGTGGTAGGTTGTTATAGTTTCATGGTAACACCCATGGATGACATATGGGTCATGGGTCTACATGTGGTAGTTGGTTATAGTGTCATGCTAATACCCATGGATGACATATGTGTCATTGGTCATCGTGGTAGTATGGTAATACCTGTGGATGACATATGGATATGGGTCATGTGGTAGTTGCTTATAGTGTCATGGTAACACCCATGGATGACATATGGGTCATTGGTCAATGTGGTAGTTGCTAGATTAAAAAGGCATATATCAATTGTGCCGGTTGTGTTTTAAAATAGATTGATTTTTTTTTAATTCTGATTTTTGAGAAAACTACCCTTACTAATCAAATATGAGTCATTGTATGTACGGGGGCAATTTGGTCATTTTATAGTCAACATCTTGTAGGCACCATAATTTTTCCGACGAATCACGTCGTTTCAGTTCTTCAGTCTTATTTCAGTCACTTGCAATCAACCCCAATTTCAAAATTCCAACAGTCAAAAACCCTAAAATCATTTTTACAGAATCGTTATCTTAGCCGAGGAATAATATTATGGAAGCCAGTACTTCTTCGAAGATGCAACCAAGAAAGCAAAGCAAATCGCTAACTGACATGCCATTGGAAGTGATTGAGAAGATAATAGTCGAGATGGGAAAATTTTCAGCAGTCGACGCTTTCAAGATGAAGAGTGTGTAAGTTTGTCTTCGATCCTTCAGTTACACGTGTATATTTGATTTGTGCTTATAGTTAGGGGCCAATATTGTGTTTCGTTTGTAGTTGCAAAATCTTGAACGAGGCGGGAAAAACAGAAGAAATATACAAACGGATGGAGGTAGATGGATTACGCTGTTATATGCATAGTATTAATTTGTTTCTTGTTTTGCATTACTTTAACTAGAAATTATGTGTTTAGTGTTTTTTTTTCAGATGAAGTTATTTTTCTTGGAAGCTGATCATGAATGGAAAACGATGCTTGAAGAAGCATCTGCATTGGGACATTTGGATTCAACATTTGTCCTGGGAATGATGTTGATGGCAGAAGGCAGACAGAGGAAGCAGGAAGCTTTGGACATGTTGAATAATGCTTATCGCAGAACAAAAGGTACTTGGAATCTTAGAGCAACTTCTTCCAAGGTTCATCTCTAATTAAATAGGGATGGGAGAAAACATGTACACTTCCATGGCTTCCATAGAACTTGTGTAATGCATAGGTCTGTGATTAATGTGTCAGGCGCTTTTGTGAATGGATACAAATGGGTGTTTTGGTGTGAAATTTGTTTATGGGATGCTTGTTTCGTTCGGTTTGCTAGGGAGTTTGGGATCATTTATGAGTAGTTTGTTGATATGTACTTTCATATTATGACAATTAATGATTTGTACACTCTTTTGGTTTAATATATAAATATATAGTAATTTACTTGATAAGTAGTTACTTGATGTCGTTACTTGATTAGTAACTATGTTGTGTTGTTAATAAGCGACTAAAAGAGTAAAAGTTTGGAAAGTCGTGTGGCAAAATGAAAGTCAACAAAAGCTTACTATTCCTAACTTGGTCAAGTTTTAATATATATATACATATTAGTGTTTATATTATGTTAGTAAAATTAAATGGTTGTGTTATAATTATCAAATTTTGAAATATATGTTAATTTAGTGTATGTTACTTTAAAATTAAATGGTTGTGTTATAATTATCAAATTTTGAGATATATGTTAATTTAGTAAAATTAAAATCACCATTTAGTGTGTGATTGGATTGAAAACACCATTTTAATGTGTAAACATCACCATTTTAATGTTTTTCCATTGGAGTTGGTCTAATAAGTTGAGTATAATATGTGAAATGATTTGTAGTAAAGATACCTTTGCTATATTTATATTGTACATATATAATTACTTCAAATACCATGTATTAATTGTAATCGACATTAAGGAAGATAATATTAAAGTTATTCAATTGTGAGAAACATAAGGCAGTTTAGTTCAGCCGGATGACACATCTTTCTTCCTTCCCGAAGTCACAGGTTCGAATCCTACTTCCTTCAATCTTTTTATTTAACTTCGTCTTTTTCATTTAAATTGTCAAAGTTCCACTTTGACCCATAAAAGGTTATAATGTTTCAATAATTTGTTTTGACACAACTGCCCTTAGTAATCACATATTTCGAATGATTATAAGGGCACTTTGGTCTTTTTGCATTGTACATTATTTAGGCGCCATGATGGTTCTGATGTCATGTTGTCGTTTCAGTGTTTCAACCATTCAGAACGTCTCAAATCTTCCCGACAGTAAAACTGCAGACGAACATATAAACCCCCAAATCGTCGATAGGTAATCGCTCTGAAAATCGATTTTCCCCGATAATATTGACGCAGATACTTAGTTGATAACTAGAGCATCATAAAGTAAGGTTTTTTTCCTTACCCTGTTACACCGTTTTTCACATTTACACCTAATTTTTAAAAAAAAATTGAAATCAATTAGTGAAATGTGTATTTTGTATGTAGAATGTCGAATACAAGAAGTTGTAGTTCGTTGGATGATCTTCCGAGATTTTGATTCGGATTATTGTAATGTTAGGGTTAGAATCTGTAAAAGACATCATCTCTACAAGAATTTGCTAATTCTCACTAAACATAAACTAATGAATGTTTATTTGACGAAATGTAACTTGATTTATTAGTTATTTACTGTATATTTCAATTTTTGAAGTTCAAAAAAGATGTATGCAGCGGGGGTGATCCTCAAGTGTTCAGGACAGCATCCCTGCACATGATTGCAGGGATGGGTCCCAACCATCTTAATGTTGATTTATTTATACACACATGTGCAATGCATAATAACATTGAAGTCATGTTTAGACAAGGAGCGGTATGTGTAATTTCAGTAATTTTATGTAATTTGAGTTCATTTATTAATTTTTAGTGTCATTGATGTTAATGATATTGTTATTCCGTAACAAGGAGGAGTGCTTATGTAATGGCAATTTTGATGTAGGAATGACTTTGTTGGGACAAGCAGCAGATGAAGATCATCTTGAGGCAATTTATTTGCTTGGAATGATCTACATTTCAAGAGGGCTTCCTCAGTGTGATCAAGGTAGGTATGGTATATATGTACAATAAATTTTGTATATAGTTAATTAATACATGTTTATAGTTTGGGGATAATATTTAGTATTGTGTTGTATAATTAATTGATAGTTTTATTAATATGTAAGTTTACAACTACTTGATGCGTATTTTGGCTGGGCAGTTCCGGATCGTGGGGAGTACATAGGTGCTGTTGATAGTGCCAGAGATTTGTCGAAGACTTTTGATGTTGTTCATATACTTACAACGAATAACATCACATTTCAATGTGAAGAGGCACTTCATTCTGTTAAAGGGGCATTTGCGGTAGGACATGAAGAGGATGAGGATCCACAAAGGTATTGCATGGTTTGCCGTTGCTATGTGGAGTACGGTAGGTTTTGTAGTTTTCTTAAATATATACATGGTTGATAATGGACATTAATAGTTTATTAAGTATATATTAATGACTTTCAATATCAGTGTTTATATTAATATCAGTGTTTATATTATATTGTATATGTAGTTGTATATACTTTTATTTTGGTTTATGTTGTTATTTTATGGTAAAAGGGCATTTTGGTCATTTTATTATGTTATGGTGTTTGAGTAGTTAGTTGATGTTGTTACTTGATTAGTATATATGTTGTGTTGTTATTAAGGGAATAAAAGTGTAAAAGTTTGGAAATTAATGTGGCAAAATGAATGTCAACAAAATGCCCTTTAACATTATATTTAAACTAATAATTTAAGTATTTCATACTATTCAAAGCTGTAACTTTATTATGCATGTTATTTAAATTTATTACATGTGTACTACATGGATTTAAACCTAGTATTGAATAATATCGACCAAATACTTTGACCTAGTATCCATCTACCACATCGAAATCAAGGGTTGTCGAAGGTTCCCTCATACACTCTTTCTTTGAATCTGTGTTCTACAATTCTCAAATTCAATTAAACCATTGTACAAATATTCTACGCCATTATCAAATCATCAAAGCAATTCATCCATTC